CCGTTCAGACTAAATCATACCCCGGCATACCCCAGCCGCCCGCGGTCCGACATAGATGCGGAACGCCGAAAGTTGAATCCCAATTTTTCGCTGCACCAAGCCTGATTGCTGCGCGAACTACACTTTGCACTGAAATGTAGGACTCCGACGAAACTTCTGCTAAAACGTTCCCTTTTAGCCACCAAAAACAAATCTGTTAAATGAATCCTCTTAAAACATCTTATTATGCCATCTTAGATCCAGATTTGTAAGATGATCATTCTGGAGTTCGTTCGATTTCTTAACGAAGTCCAGCGCTGAAAGATATCGCCGAAACACCCATTCACTGACAGGATCCAAGATGGTCGCCTCGATCTTTCTCGCCTTGCTGGACTCCTGGCCAACAGCACGTCTTAATTACATTAGGCTACCAGTGGCTGCCTGGGCAAAAACATAGAACCGCAGATTTTCAATGACATCCAACCGCAAAACATCACCCAGTCTCTAGATTTCAACACATTTACCCGATAAAACAACTGATCTGATCTGACCTTGTTGACCCCGAGCCACTCGTGGAAGAAGCTGCAGGCGCCGGCAGCACAGCATCCAGGCCCACCGGCCAAATCAACCACTTGCACCACAGCCTGCCTAGACTGCCGAGCTTCAGCGGCCAAAACGTCCCAAGTTGAAGGTAACCCCTTGCCCCTTAACGGCACGTCCTCATCTTTTCAGTTAGGGATATTGGGGATGGGGTGATGGAATTGTGCCTATGGGAAAGGGAAAGGGAGAGGGAAGAAAAACTGTCATGAGTCATGGCCCGCTCGCTTTGCCTATGCTCTTGCCTAACCAATATTGAATTTGGATCGTCGCCAATCCAGTTATTATAAAACAAAACTGTCATGCCAGTCCAATTCCGCATGATGCCACATTATGTCCCAAACTTAAGAAATAATACTTTTAGGCCACAGAATATGCGAACACTCCTTTGGAGAGCTTTGCCAGCCTCCAAATGTGTGAGAAAAAAATCTGCCATGGGGTAAGTTGCCCATCACCACGCGGCAGAGCAGCTGCGTCAGAGCTACCAAACAGCTGCTGCAATTGGCACAGCTCTGCTTTCACCACATTTGCCCTCACAAGGAAATACTCTTGGATGTAAGCAACTTGCAGGCGGTGTTGTTTGTACACGTGCGCCTTGCAAATTGCAAATCAGCATCCATCCCCGCAAACAAAACCACGACAACGCATTCATAGAACTCGACACCCCCACGGCCTTCAGATTTTGAATAAAAAAATTGTTAAGCATCAAATGGGTGTGCCCGCCACGTTTTTCCCACCAGTCTCAATGCATGTGCACGTCCGCCAGCAACCACTTTGGCCGTAAATTCATCATCCGTGAGGTTTTCCATTCCGTTTTGCCAGAAAGCTGGCCCATGTCGAGATTCCTCAACAACTTTTATGACGCGAGTCAACGGGACACGGGCAATCGTAGAATGCGGATAAAAACAACCCTGAGGATCCGATATTGAAAAAATCAATCACCGTTTTGAAAGAAAAAGTGATGTTCAATATTATTGAAAATGGTTGAGCTCACAGGCTTGAAATTCAATACTGTGATCAATCCTGATAAAGATCTGATAGATCTGGCATTGATCTTGATATTGGTCTGGTATTGGTCCTGATATCGATCTGATATCGATCTGGTATTGATCTGGTATTGATCGGGTATTGGTTTGGTACTGATCTGATATTGCTTGATTTTGATCCTGGTGCGCGCTCTGGTGATTGTTTTGCGCTCTGAACTCGCTGTGAACTCGCTGCAGGTGCTGTTTTGCGCTGTAAACTCGCTGTGAACTCGCTGTGGGGGCTGTTTTGCGCTGTGAACTTGCTGTGAACCCGCTGTGGGGACAGTTTTGCGCTGTGAACTCGCTGGTGAACTCGCTGTGGGGGCTGGCATTGCCATTGGCTTGATATTGATCTGGTATTGATCTGATCTTGGTCTGGTATTGATCACGGTATTGGTCTTATATTGATTTTGATATTGGTTTGATGTTGGTTGGATTTTGAAAAGCTGATCAATCCTCAGGACTGAAAAAAACAGCTTTTACGATTGAAAAAAACAAGTTCAATAATATTGATCAAGATTGATCAGGATTGATTTTTTCAATCCCGGATCCTCAGGGAACCACCACAACCCAAACACACAAAAAGGGTCAGTTTTTTAGCATTTGACCGCATTTCTGACCAAACGCTATCAAATCAATTCTATCTTCGGATCAATGATTGGAAACGGTTTTGTCTTAATGCTAGTGTCCTTGCAAAACTTTTTTGGAAATCAACAAAACATACGTATCCAAACAAGATAATGACTGTTGCAAACATGTGCCAACATTCTGCCAAGCAGAACCTTCCGAATCCCTGCCGACAAGACCATGCCAGGGCTCTAGGTCGTCTATCACTTTCTTCCCTTCCTCACAATTTATGTCGCTCAATCCTCGCAATGTCTCCAAACTTTTTGCATCTTCTACGCTCATTGCACCCTGCAGCATTGCACTTGCTCGTTCCTTGTCCAGCCGTGCAAAATCGCAAGCTCGGATGGCCACAAGGCCCCGAATCTTGCCAACATTCCGAAGGAACCTGAAAAACGCTTAATTAATAACCGCTTTGATTAAGGGCACTTGTAAATTTAGATGTTTCAACACTTGGAACATAGAACCATATAATTCCTGCAGAGATCGTGCGTGTGCACAAGTGGCGTCAGCCCAGCTATCTTCACTGACCCACCCCATTCCACACAACCAAAATTGACATTAAATATGGTTAATCAAAATCGTGCCGCAAAACACGTTCAAACTTGGTAAACCAAACCAAACCGAAGTGCCAGATCCACGTTCGTCAACGGTGTTGGATTGGGTTTTGGGCGCTTCATCGCCGCCATCACGGACAGCCGATTTGGTTTCGCACGGTCTGCCGGTCTGCTGTTTGTAAGGACAACGTCTTTGAGAATTGCCAAGTTTGGCAACAAAGAACGAAACAAACAAAAACAATACATTTTATATCGTATTAGTTCGGGCAATGATGGATGGTTTTTTCACAAAACGAAATGTCTTAGACCATCTACTGGCCTCTATGTCTGTGGTCAGCATACCCCCACCTCCAGGCATGTAAGAGTCCATGTCGCAGTCCACGTCGCAGTCCACGTAAGAGATCATGTGAAAGACATGGCCCATAACAAACCAAAATAAACCCATAATTGAAGCCCATCATGCCTTTTTCAGGGGGAATACCCCTGAACCGTTCATTCTCCGTTCTGAACCGTTCTGAACCGTTCAGAAACCTTTACATGGGTTGTTACGTGAGTTCTTACGTGAGTTCTTACGTGAGTTCTTACGTAGGTTTTTCATGCCTTTTTCAGGGGGGAATACCCCTGAACCGTTCATTCTCCGTTCTGAACCGTTCTGAACCGTTCAGAAACCTTTACATGGGTTGTTACGTGAGTTCTTACGTGAGTTCTTACGTGAGTTCTTACGTGAGTTCTTACGTAGGTTTTTCATGCCTTTTTCAGGGGGGAATACCCCTGAACCGTTCATTCTCCGTTCTGAACCGTTCTGAACCGTTCAGGGGGGAGGTAAAACAGCCAAAAACCACGTAAGAAACCACGTAAGAAACCAGGCCAAAAAAACAGTCCTTGGAAGGGGTTGGACAGGTTAGGTTCTCTCCCAGTGTGTCACGGGCTAAACCAGTGGCCACTGACCACGTGCGCCTTGCCATAGCCATAACTAGGCTCACAGTCACCCATTTTCATGAGCCACACCACTCACATGGGCTTATGAGTGAACATCAACTGACAATACAACGCCACATACATACAATACAAAGATTGTTCGAAGGCCCATTATTTACATGACTTCTTACGTCAACCCTTACGTAGAAAAGACCCATCTCTTACGTCCACCTCTGGGAGACGTCAGAAACCAGCCAATAAAGAGGCTAATGGCAGCTCTAAGAAATGTCCAATGATGCTCACGCGGCCTTTTGCATTGCCTATTTGTACGCATCGAAACATAGCAAAAATCTACGTTTGAGCTTGCAAACAACGCAAACACAAGGAAGAAATCGTGGCTGCACAACCGACACAGGCACCCATCCCCGTTGAAATAAACAGGGGGTACTTGGAACAACCATTTTACACTGTAGAATGGGAAAAGCCTGTAGTATGGTTATTCTTTGACAAACAGTAGAATGGTTATACCAGAGTTGCTGTAAAATGGTTAGCTCAAACTTTAAACCATAAAATGCAAAATGGTTCCCCACTGTAAAACGGATTTACCAACATTTGAAAAATCAAGTGGAATATCCCAAACTTAACATCTTGTTTTTTGGGGGGGCCAACCCTGCCCTACTGTAAAATTGTAAATCGGGTCTTCTAATGATATTCCATTAAAATGGAAATTCTTGGAGCTCAGCGTTGCATAGCTTGACTATGCTTGCTCAGAGTCCGAGACTTTGTCTCCATTTGTCTAATTGTTCCTATGCATCGCTAAAGTATGCTAAAGTATGAGCCTGCCTGCTTGGAAACAGTGCAAATTCGCCAAGCAAATGCAAGCAAATGAATGCAAATTAAAAGCGTTGGAAATCAATGAAAATCAATGAGAACCTATCAACATATGTAGGTTTTTCCGTCTTAAACCCACATGTGCTGATCCCACAAATGTGGGAAAAGCCCGGCGGTGGCTCTTCCTTCTTTCTGCGCGGCATCTCTACACACAGCTCTTTACACAGCTCTGAGCCAGTAAGTTAGAGGCGGCGAGAGGGTTAGTTTTTCAGAACGACCCCTCAAAAAATGGTCAAAAATACTGGTATTTATAGTGTTTTGTGACTAGAAGTTATTTTAGAGGAAAAATCACTCCCCAACATGTTTCCCTTCATGATCATGGCAGGCAGGCCCTTATTGCAACTTCCAGGCCTGATGGTCTACTATACGCAAAATCTTAGTATACCATATATCTATGTTTGGTTCTCTCTCACTTCATGGACTTCATCACTTTCATCACCTTCATGGACTTCATAACCTTCATCGCTTTCATGACCTTCATTGATCCTGGTTTCATAGTTTTCTTGCCCTTCACTCTGTTGCAAGCATACGGTTTGGTTGCTCCTTTGCCCTTGTAGACCTTGTACTGGTTGAGGTGGTACGTGTCACCGCAAGCTACCAAATCATTGTGCTGTTTGCAGAACAAGAGTACTGCAAATCGATGCCGAAGGGGACGCATGTCATTCAAGACTTTGCTGTATCCTCTAAACCAAGAAAAGGTTTGCTCAGCTATGGAAGTCTTCAAGTTCTTGATGCGTTTCTTGAGGCGGGTCTTGGATCGGGGGTTGCATGGGCAATTCTTGGTGTGACCATAAGAGTGGAACGTGTCCAAACTAAAGTACTTCAGCTGCTCCAGTCCTGGTGTCTTGACAGCCGATGGCATGTAGTGGCAGGCTCGGTCCATGACAAGGAGATCAATGTTGGGGTACTGGGGCAAGATTTTCAGCAAGGACTGTGTGACAACTTTGTTTCCCTCAGGTTCATCTTGACTAGTGACTCCAAGGATTCGGCCTGAGACTGGGTCAACCACCATGAACCATGACCATGACCACTAAGACTTTGTGATGACCATCTGCAACCACACCGCTGACTTTCTTGGGGCGCAAGGGAGGTAGGAGATGTTCATGGCAATGAGCATCATATTTCATCAAGGTGCTTTCGTCGATTTCTTTCCCAATAACTATGCTTGTGTGTTTGCCAAGCACTTCCCATTCCAAACCCACCATGTAATAGAAGAGCCCATCATAGTAGAGTTCTCGGGCCTTTGTGTGGAGAGGAGGGGTCTCATCAGCAAGATTGTCGAAGAAGGTTTGTTCATATGCAAAGTGAATTCCCCTACCAGTGCTGCAACATCTAAAGAACAATGAGGCATGGTACTTCAAGAACCTGATTGTGAAGCCAACCTTCATGTTGATGAACAAAACTTCGTCCAAGGCCATGTCCGAGATCTTGGTTGTGTTGATCAATTGCCCATCGCGGTTGCGGAAGTTTGGTCCATAGATCGTTTTGCACTGAGGGCACCTTTTTGTTTCTACCACTACCTCATTCCTCCCAATGAGATCGAAGGAGACAGCTGAGATTGTATGATGAGGAGCCATTTCCACGAAGAACCACAGGTACAGAATGACAAGGGACTGGTGTGCATAGGCTTCTCCGACATTTGGGTGGCTGGACGTTTCTTAACAAGCATTGTGAAAGCACCCTACGTAAACTACACCAGGACAAACTGCTACGGAATTAGACACAGAAATTTGCTGAGTTTGCCGCAAGTTGCAATGCATAGTCATGCGTCATACTAGCAAAGCAGGCAACACAGCACACTAGCAGAAAAGAAAAGCTACGCATACGCATTCATTTTCCTGTGTTTGGGTTGGGAAGTGTTCAGGCATGTAGTGTTCAAAACCGCCGGACTTACATCTGTATACTTTGACCTAAGATAGCCCACTCAGAAGAGCTCAGGAGGAATCACCACCATCTACACCATAACCATGGTTGAAGACATCCTCTTCATTCTCAATCATTTCCATGCCTGCAATCTCCAAGGGGGGATTGGTGGGAGGTTCATCCTCATCTTCAGACACTAGATCAATGAGGCCATAGTTCATTGGTCTGGTTGTGGTTGCGTGAGTTTCCTCCTTGATAGCGGGCAAGGATTCTGGGACCTTTCTTGCCTTCTTGGGAGGGGACATGTCCAAGTCAGTGCAAGCACCAGGGATGCCATCACGCAAAGGCTGGCGAGAGAAGGAGTTTTCTCGTTTGATGGGTGGTGCGGGGCCAAATTCCTCAAGATGAACTTGGATAGAAACTGTGGTCTGGCCTGAGAAAGGAGAAGTGATGGAAGTTTCTGTGGGCATAGGCGGTTTGTTTTCACCTTTGTTGTCCATGATGCTCCTCATCCAGGTTTCTTCCCACTGAAGATGTTTGTGATGGTTTTCAGAAAGATCACGGTTTCCTTTCCTATAGGCCATGTACTTCACCCCACCAGACCTACGAAGCAAGGACTTGGCATCATTGAGCTTGATACATTCTACACCAACCTCTGCCTCTGTAGCAGGCCAGTAGTAGATGAAATTGTCTGTGATGATGATGATGATGCAAATTCGTTTGAGCACAGCCTTGATGTCACTCAAACAAGAGCCTTTCATCCAAGCTGGCTCAAGCATCTGCATGAATTGAATGTGGGTGATCACCATGGATCTACCGGATGGTTCAGCGCTAAGATCAACATCATTGGAGATGTAAAGGCGGGGTTGGCCCTGGGGGAACTTTGCAGCACCCCACCGCTCTTTGGTGAGGACTGTGTTTCCTACATCGCAAAAGCCCTTCAACTTTCTGATGGGTTGTTCTGGCTATTAAATTTCGCGAGTGGCTGCGTTTGGGAGCCAATATGTGTGCAGTCACTATTTCGGCTTACCCAAAAACCTAGAAGCGTGCAAAATATACCGTTTGGGTAAATCTGCCGCAACGTTGCAAATCATTTTTTCACACCCCGATTTGAGGTTTGTCCCCAGCAGTCTGTAATTTGTTTAAGGAATCTACCCACTTAGGTGCCAGCAACAACAACAGTGAAGCAACAAATACATAACAAACCCATAAAGATGTACACACTATTAAAAATACCACTTAATATGGGTATATACATTGCAATATACAACTGCAGACTCCAGGGGTTACCTTTTTCTAACTCCGACAGCTACTTTAAGCATTTCCAACCTTTTTTGCAGCGCGCTTCCAAACAGATAGGAAAACCTACGCTGCACGCATCTCAGCCAATGCCCCTCCCGGCAGATTTTGAGCACGCACCCACGAAGCACCGTCTCAGCATCCACGGCTCTGTCAAGAAATGTCAAGAATGCTTCTTGCATTCTGCCTCTCAGGCGGGAACGAGAACACGTGCTGCAATCACGTCCTCCAAAGGAAGATCTACACCTCCAGGTCCATGGGGCTCTGTCAAGAATGCTTCTGGCATGGCGCCTGCCAGTCAGAAAGAAGAACACCTGCTGCAATCATGTCAGCCAAAGGAAGATCTAGGTAGCCTTTGGTAATGCTCCTGCCAGGCAGTTTTGAGGACGCAACCGCCCACGAAGCACCACCTCAACATCCATGAAACTCTGTCAAGAATGCTTCTGGCATGGTGCCTGCCAGACAGACAGAAGAACACCTGCCGCAATCATGTCAGCCAAAAGAAGATCTAGGTACAGCCTTTGGTAATGCTCCTGCCAAGCAGTTTTGAGGACGCAACCGCCCACGAAGCACCACCTCCAGGTCCATGGGGCTCTGTCAAGAATGCCTCTGGCATTGTGCCTGCCAGGCAGAAAGAAGAACACGTGCTGCAATCATGTCAGCCAAAGGAAGATCTAGGTAGGCTGTGGTAATGCTCCTGCCAAGCAGTTTTGAGGACGCACCCGCCCACGAAGCACCACCTCCAGGTCCATGGGGCTCTGTCAAGAATGCCTCTGGCATTGTGCCGGCCAGGCAGAAAGAAGAACACGTGCTGCAATCATGTCAGCCAAAGGAAGATCTAGGTAGGCTGTGGTAATGCTCCTGCCAAGCAGTTTTGAGGACGCACCCGCCCACGAAGCACGACCTCAACATCCATGAAACTCTGTCAAGAATGCTTGTGGCATGGTGCCTGCCAGACAGACAGAAGAACACGTGCTGCAATCATGCCAGCCCACAGGAAGATCTAGGTAGCCTTTGGCAATGCTCCTGCCAGGCAGTTTTGAGGACGCACCCGCCCACGAAGCACCACCTCCAGGTCCATGGGGCTCTGTCAAGAATGCCTTTGCCATTGTGCCTGCCAGGCAGAAAGAAGAACACGTGCTGCAATCATGTCAGCCCCAAAGGAAGATCGCCTTTGGGAAAGCTCCTGTAGGGACTCTAATGGTCTGTCAGAATGCATGCCTGCCAGGCAGCAGTCTAGGATAGCTCCTGCCAAGCAGTTTTGAGGACGCACCCGCCCACGAAGCACCACCTCCAGGTCCATGGGGCTCTGTCAAGATGCCTTTGGCATTGTGCCTGCCAGACAGAAAGAAGAAACACGTGCTGCAATCATGCCAACCCACAGGAAGATCTAGGAAGCCTTTGGCAATGCTCCTGCCAAGCAGTTTTGAGGACGCACCCGCCCACGAAGCACCACCTCCAGGTCCATGGGGCTCTGTCAAGAATGCTTCTGGCATGGTGCCTGCCAGACAGACAGAAGAACACGTGCTGCAATCATGCCAGCCCACAGGAAGATCTAGGTAGCCTTTGGCAATGCTCCTGCCAAGCAGTTTTGAGGACGCACCCGCCCATGAAGCACCACCTCCAGGTCCATGGGGCTCTGTCAAGAATGCCTTTGGCATGGTGCCTGCCAGGCAGAAAGAAGAACACCTGCCGCAATCATGTTAGCCAAAAGAAGAAACCGCCCACAAAGCAGCGCCTCAAGGTCCATGGTGCTCTGTCAAGAATGCCTTTGGCATTGTGCCTGCCAGGCAGAAAGAAGAACACGTGCTGCAATCATGTCAGCCCAAAGGAAGATCTAGGTAGCCTTTGGGAATGCTCCTGCCAGGCAGTTTTGAGGACGCAACCGCCCACGAAGCACTACCTCCAGGTCCATGGGGCTCTGTCAAGAATGCCTTTGGCATGGTGCCTGCCAGGCAGAAAGAAGAACACGTGCTGCAATCATGTCAGCCAAAGGAAGATCTAGGTAGGCTGTGGTAATGCTCCTGCCAAGCAGTTTTGAGGACGCACCCGCCCACGAAGCACCACCTCCAGGTCCATGGGGCTCTGTCAAGAATGCCTTTGGCATTGTGCCTGCCAGACAGAAAGAAGAACACGTGCTGCAATCATGCCAACCCACAGGAAGATCTAGGAAGCCTTTGGCAAAGCTCCTGCCAAGCAGTTTTGAGGACGCACCCGCCCACGAAGCACTACCTCAACATTCATGAAGCTCTGTCAAGAATGCTTCTGGCATGGTGCCTGCCAGGCAGAAAGAAGAACACGTGCTGCAATCATGTCAGCCAAAGGAAGATCTAGGTACAGCCTTTGGTAATGCTCCTGCCAGGCAGTTTTGAGGACGCAACCGCCCACGAAGCATCACCTCAACGTCCATGAAACAATAAGAGTTGGAAGTTTCTATAGAAATATGCTTAGAGGGAATTTTGAGAGAAAAAAGTGCTCAGAAGTAGAGGTGTCTAAAGGAAAATGTTCAGAATAGTAATTCCTTAAGTTTCTAGAGAACAGTGCTCACAGAAAGTATATAGAGTAGAAGAGGTATTTCGAACCCAGAAGTAGAGATTTCTTGTGACAGAAAAAGAGATTTCTATAGAAAGGAGTAGTTTTTAGAGCAGGTAGAAGATCGAGTGCCCTGGTATACCGAACTTGCGCTCCACCTGCCAAATTTGCATGCTCCATCTGCCGAACTTTGTGCTACATCTGCCGAACTTTTTGCTGCATCTAATCTGCCGTATACTTATAAAAGTGCTCCATCTGCCGAACTTATAGCTCCATCTTCCGAATGTCATATCCGCCGACTTTTGGCCCATCTGCCGAACTTTACCTCCATCTGCCGAACTGTACTTGGAAGTGCGGCCCTTCTTATAACTAGTTGCAACGGTTGTTTGAGTTATAAGTCATGCAATAAGCCTGACAAGTCATGCAATAAGTCTAGCAAGTCAGTCGATAAGTCCAACAACTAAGAATAAGCAGGAAACCTACTTGTTAAGTATGTATACTTACTTAGTAAGTGAGACACCTACTTGTCTAGATTATATCTAGTTAACGTCCTACTTGTATATAGTTGCTAGTTACTTACGGAGGACTTGTTCCACTTAACGTAACTAGAACAATCAAGCCTATAACTAGATTCCTAGATAATGTCCTACTTAGTAAGTGGGACCGGTCCTACTTAGTAAGTGGGACCGGTCCTACTTATAAGTAGGACCGGTCCTACTTAGTAAGTGGGACCGGTCCCACTTAGTAAGTAGGACCGGTCCTACTTAGTAAGTAGGACCGGTCCTACTTAGTAAGTCAGACCGGTTAGACTCGTGCTACTTATTAAGTCAGACATGTTCCACTTATAAGTCAGACGTGTTCGACTTATAAGTCGAACACGTCCGACTTATAAGTCAAACATGTCCGACTTATAAGTCGAACACGTCCGACTTATAAGTCGAACATGTCCGACTTATAAATCGAACATGTTCGACTTATAAGTCGAACACGTCCGACTTATAAGTCGAACATGTCTGACTTAATAAGTAGCACAAGTCCAACCGTAAATACTTACAAGTAGACGACAACTTGGTTGTCGCACTTACCTAAGTCAAACCATAAGTCTAGCATGACTGACTTAGTAAGTCCAACTATAAGTGATACAGTAACTGGAACGATAACCATAACAAGTATAACAACTAGTTATAAGCAGGGCCGCACCTCCAAGTACCTCCATCTGCCGAACTTTTGGCTCATCTGCCGAACTTTTGGCCCATCTGCCGAACTTTTGGCCCATCTGCCGAACTTTTGCTAAATCTGCCGAACTTTTGGCCCATCTGCCGAACTTTTGGCCCATCTGCCGAACTATATCTGCCGAACTTTTGGCCCATCTGCCGAACTTTTGGCCCATCTGCCGAACTTTTGCCGAACTTTTGGCCCATCTGCCGAACTTTTGGCCCATCTGCCGAACTTTTGGCGCATCTGCCGAACTTTTGCTCGCCGAACTTTTGGCTCGTCATCTGCCAAACTTTTGCTCCATCTGCCGAACTTCTGCTGTATCTGCCGAACTTTTGGCCCATCTGCCGAACTTTTGGCCCATCTGCCGAACTTTTGCTATCTGCCGAACTTTTGGCCCATCTGCCGAACTTTCGGCAGATTCATCAAAGTTCGGCAGATTCAACTTATAGTTCGGAAGATTCAGCAAATTTCGGCAGATTCGGCAAAAAAGTTCGGCAGATTCAACTTAAGTTCGGCAAATTCAGCAAAGTTCGGCAGATGCAGCAGATTCGGCAGAAGTTCGGCAAATTCAGCAAAGTTCGGCAGATTCGGCGAAAGTTCCCTGAGGATCCGATATTGAAAAAAATCAATCCTGATCAATCCTGATCAATAATATTGAAAATGATTTTTTTCAATACCAGGAAAATATGTTTTTCAATATCGAGGATTGAAAGAAAAGATCAATATTTCCAATCAATATCGATCAATAGCATGATCAATATCATATAGTAGTATCATCAGCAAGTCAAGACCATCATCAGTCTTCAGCTACAATTGTCAGATCCATTTTTCAAGCATGTAGGGGGCCATCAGAGGCATTCACAACGCGCAAGCTTCTATTTCATACTTATATGTGCCAGAGCTGTTTTTGCTTATAGCAGGTTTAAACTCATTGCCTGGTCTGGGCCTGAAAGAAGGCCATTCTTCAAAGTTTTGGGGTTTCAGCTGGTGTGTTGTGGGCTTGAAAGATCAATCATCTTCAAGGGATTTGAATCTGAGGATTTTCAGCTTGCTAGGGCTTGAAAGAAAGCCATGACATCCAAGGGTGGAGCACGCAGGTCATTGGTGCCACCAGTGGACTTGGATGCTTTGCGAAAAAATTTTGAGACAGCTGTGGCCACCCAAGGTGCTGATGCTTTTAAACTTGGTGACTATCAGGAGAAAAGTGTAAGCACAGCTGTGAGCTCTGCAGGTTTGCACCACAATGCAAAGTATGTCAAGGAGTTCTACAAAATCTCAGAAGGAGAAATTCCCTCTGGGCAGTTGAAGCAGTGCATCCTCAAATATGGGTACGCTCACAACGACAGTGAGTAGAAGGATGACCTGTGGGCAGGCAAGCTTGCAAGTCAATTTGTCTGCTTGCTCAGCCATGTGAGAAGACTGAAAAGAGACTCTTCGAAACTAAGGCAGTGCCTGCAGGGAGCTACAGGGGCTGAAAGGCAATCCATTCTTGAAATTGTGGATTTGCCAGATGCTTGCAAGAAAGCAGCCCCAGGTCCTGAGGATGACCAGGCCTGCAAGAAGGCCAAAGCTGCCAAGGAGACTTCTTCTGCGAAAGCTGCAGAGGCTGGTGGCCAAGGAAGTTCCAGCTCTGCTTCTTTGAAAGAACCCGAGGAGCAGGCCTGCAAGAAGGCCAGAACTTTGAAACTACAAGTTTCAGATGTTTCTGTGGACTCTCATGGCTGGCCAGCCATTCTCAATTCTCCAAAGGCTGCAAAAGAAGAAGAAGAAGAAGTGAAAGATTGCTTTTCCAGAAACATGACAATTCTGGAAAAAATGGGGGCAAGCTGCAAGGAGCAGCTGGATAAAGCTGCACAAGAGGCAGCCCAAGAGTTGGTTGAGAGCAGACCAGGGCTTGAAAGAAGGTCAGAAATCCAAAAAAAGCCAGCCAGCAAAGAATGCAAAAAAAAGCCAGCTTCGAAGAAAGCTTCCTTGCCCAAGGCAAAAAGCTTAAGGCTTGAAAGAAGGCCCACAGAGAAGCAAGGACCAAAAAAAGAAGCAGCACCACAGCCAGAACCATTGGTGGCAGCAGAAGGGCCAAGGCCTGAAAGAAGGCCATGGTCAGCAGTGAAAAAAGTCATGGGCAAGGACCAAGCCTATCTCATGGGCCTTTTTGGAAGAGATTGGAAGCTCATCATTGGCTGCACCAAAAGAATGGGAAAGATTTTCCCAGGTGGGCATCACGCTGTGATTTTGGAGCTGGAAAAGGTGGCCATGGAGGAGGACATAACAAAGGAAAACATGAAAGAAAAAAGAGACGATTTAGTCAAAATGTAGATTGAATGCCTGAAAGAAGGCATACACCTTTCTAACAGGGCAAGGCCTGAAAGAAGGCCACTAGGAGGGTTCAGGCCGCAGCCATGTGCAAAGCACATGGCCAGGACTTTTTTCTTGGCCAAAAAAAATTGTGGTTTGGGGTTTGGGTAAAGTGTTTGTTTTTGTGGGGCAGGGGATAGCCAACGAAATTTAAAGAAAAACCTCACCGTTTTCACTGTCATTCTTTTTGTACTTAGGTTATGACCTGAGTGTTCCGGGGGTGTTATGTTCACCAAAAAGGGTTTAACATAGTAGGCGAAAGCAATCTGTTTGTTGCCTGCAGCCTTTTGAGCCTCAAAACCGAAGATAGGTGGGGGGGCACCTTTCAACCTCTAAGCGCACTTCAACTTAAGGCCTGCAAGGAGGCCCAGCAATTCAATCACTTGCAAATCTTCCAGCTCAAGGCCTGCAAGAAGGCCATCTGAAACCACATGACCTGGTGGGTAGGCCGAGCTTATGCTGGCTATGTGCCCTGGGGTCATGAAAAGGATTGGGATGATGGCGACACCTGGACTGGCTGGGAAAGGGAGCCTGATAGGGAGCTGAGAGACAGGGAGAGAAGGTGGAGGGACAGGGATGAGGAGGAGGAATCATCCTCTGACAACTCCCTGCGCAGGGGGCAGAGGAGACAGGAGGAGGAGGCTCCCAGAAGCACACAGGGCCGCCTCTTTGGCCCAAGCCCTGCAGAGGCAGCCAGGGAAGGCCTGCAAGAAGGCCAAAAAGGGAAAAGCAAAGGCAAAGCCAAGGCCAAAGAAAAGGGGTCAGGTGCAAGCAGCAGCAGGCCTGAAAGAAGGCCAGCTTTTGTCCCTGAGCATCGACCAGGGGAGGAGGATTGGGACCCTTTCAGGCAAGAAGCCAGGGGCAATAGGGGAAGGGAAGCGAGAAAGGCTTTGAGGGCCAGAGACCCTGAAGTCCAAGCCGGGAAAGAGAAGGGCCTGAAAGAAGGCTTTAAGGAAGACAAGGTTCAGCCTTTGCATGAAGGGAGCAGGAAATGGAGGATGATCAAGGAGAGGGAGAAGGAGGTGAAGGAGGAGGAGGAGCAACTAATGCTTGAAAGAAAGCAGTTGCTGGAAGAGAAGGCAGCCTTCTTGGAAGAGAAGGCTGCATGGCTTAGCAAGCAGGAGATGAGCCCCAGCCCTGCCAGAGGGGTTGTCCTGCAGGAAGGGCCAGGGGCCAGGCCTGAAAGAAGGCCAAAAAGGAAGGACAGCAGCAGCAGCAGGCCTGAAAGAAGGCCAAAAAGGAAGGACAGCAGCAGCAGCAGGCCTGAAAGAAGGCCTAAACAAAAAGCCGGCAGATCCTCCTCCTCTTCTTATTCATATGAATACAGTGAAGAGGAGGAGGTATTTGTGGAGGAGAAGCAGCCAGACTGGCAGGAGGAGGAGGAGGGGGAGAAAGAGGAAAAGGAGGAGGAGGAGCAGCCAAAGAAAAAGGACCCCAAGGACAAGGAAAAGAAAGCTGCAAAGGAGGAGGAGGAGCGAAAGGAGAAAAAGGTTTCCAAGGAAAAGGAAGCTGCAAAGAAGGAGAAGAAGCCCCAAAAGGAAGAGAAGCCCAAGGAGAAGGAGAAGGAAGATGACAAGGATATGGAGGAGGGGAAAACAGCCAAGAAGCGAAAGGAAAGGAAGAAAGTGGTCAAGGAGGAGGAGGAGGAGGGGCAGGAGGAGGGAAAAGAAAAAAGAGAGAAAGAGGTGGATGCTTCTGACCTGTGAGGCTTGAAAGAAAGCCACAGGGAAGAAATTGGCATGCACAAAAACTTGGCTTGAGAGAAAGCCACAAGGAAGAAAAGTAACCAAAAACAGGTTTGAAAGAAAGCCAAACCACCTCAGGCTGTCTCACCAGGGGACAGGCCTGAAAGAAGGCCCCCCTGCTTCAGCGACCAATAAATAAAAAAGAAAAAAAGATAATAAATAATATAATAAGAAATTTAAAAGTAAATAAAATATTGAAAAATAAAATAATAAGAAATAATAGTTAAGGTAACTGAAAGAGAGCCAATACTATTTGAAAAAAGAAGAAACATTTAATTAAAAAAAGCATGTCATAAAAATGTTATAATTTAAAAAAATAACTTCAACTGCGCCTAAACTACGCGAAACCATCCTGTGGAGTTCCCAACTGCGCGAAACCTGCGCGAAACCATCCTGTGGAGTTCCCAACTGCGCGAAACCTGCGCGAAACCATCCTGTGGAGTTCCCAACTGCGCGAAACCTGCGCGAAACCATCCTGTGGAGTTCCCTGGGGTCTGGCAAACTCACACGCATGTTTTTTTTTTAAATGTTAACTTTCAAACTTCATGTAAACCAAAACCTTTTTTTTCTGTAGCAATTTCAGAACTCAAATCCCCAGCCGTACTTGGAGGCTATGGCCAAGAAAAGGCCTGCATCCCTTGAGGGCTTGAAAGAAAGCCAGAAAAAAAAAACACAGAAACTGAATGAAAAAAATGAGGAAAGCCAACCACTGAAAGCAACACAAGAGACAAGTGCTGAGGAGAAGCAGCAAGAAGGCCTGCAAGAAGGCCAAGTAGGAGCTTCTGAGCCCGAAGCAACTCAGGAAGAAGCAACCCAGGGGGCAACTGCTGAGGAGCAGCAAGAGGGCCTGCAAGAAGGCCACCAACCAGATGCTTCTGAAGAAGGGAAACCAGCTGCTGAGGCTGAGATAGAGGAAGCAGCAAAGATGCTTCCAGACAGTGTAGCAAAGGCAGCCCAGGCAAGCCTGAAAGAAGGCTCTGAGGCTGGTGCCACTTTGACTTCTTCCAGGCTCAAACTTCACGAAAAAACACAGGCAGCCATCCAAGGCCTGAAAGAAGGCCACCTGTCAGAGGCTGCATTCTGGCAGGAAATCTCCAACAAAGACAGAGCTGCCTTGTGGAAAAAATATGAAGGAGCCAGGAACAAAGACCCTGAAGCCAAAGCAGCTTGGCTCCAGATGGGTGGCCCAGGTGTTCTGGATCAGAAGAAGCAACTGCTTCTGCACTTCCTGAAGACTGGTCAGGCCCAGGAAGGGGGCTTGAAAAAAAGCCAAGAAGTCGCCAACTCCAAGAAGGAGAAAGAATGGTTTGAGTGGGTCCCCTGGAAGCAGATCCTTGACTGGTATGGGGAAGAGGAGGCCCTGGCCAGGGTAGAGAGTGGTTTAATAGCAGTGAAAAAGGTGGGAAAGAAATTCTATGAATTTCTCCTGGTGAAGATCAGGACCGAGCTCACACTGGAGCAAAAAAAAAGGATTGCTGCTGAGCAAGAAATAGCACTGCAAGGTGAGGAACTGAAGGCCTGCAAGAAGGCCTTAGCAGCAGCAAGAACAAAACAGGAATGGGATGACCTTTGGCTTGAAAAAAAGCCACAGAAAGGCTTCCAGGTTGAAGATGCTTTGTCAGAACCTTCTGAAACTTCTTCTGAACATGAGGACGAAAGTTCAGCAGAGCAACATAATCCTGCAGCAAGTTTCCTGCAAGGCCTGAAAAAAGGCCAGGCTATGGTCTCTCAGAAAAAAGAAAAAAGAAATGATGACAAGCAGAAGCACCTCGTAAAGGAAGAGAAAGTCAAGGAGGAGGACAGCAGAGCTTGCAAGAAAGCTCAGGCAGAGAAGACTAAGATTGCCAAAAAAAAGGAAGCAGACAAAAAATGGCACACAAAGTTAGAGGAAGCCACACAAGTGGGTGAAAACGAAAAGGACAGTAAGGTCAAGAAGATGCTGGCCTTGGTCAGCAAAGGAGTGGCTGATTTGAAGAAGGCTTGCAAGAAAGCCAAAGATGCCAGCTGGGGTGCAGATGTCCTGCAAGCTCTCATCAAATCTAGAGACAGCTTGGAAGATTTGGCAACAGATGGTGAGCTGGAAGGCATCAAGAACCACTTGCTGGAAGCAGCATCAGCTCTGAAGGCTTTCAAGAAATTGCTCACTGCCTAGGATTGGCCTGAAAGAAGGCCTGGGACATGGCCACTTTTGCCTTGACTTGCGACAGCATGGTTGCCCCGCAAAAAAAATAAGCAGCTTGCATGCCCAGCCCCCAGGCAGCTTTTTTTGGGTAAAGAGGTTCACCTGTAAGATACATGCATGCAGCAGCTGTTTTTAATGGCTCAAGGTCATGCCAGGCATCCATCAGAAAATAGAATTAACAAACACTAGGAAAAGACCAGCTCCAGGCCTGAAAGAAGGCCAGGCTCTAAGCAAGAAACTTTTGCAACTTTGGTCCCTGGGGAAATTAAGTAGCTCAGGGCTCCAAGAAATCGCTTTTGCAGCCACTGCAGATGGCTTGCAATGTGAGAGCATAGTGGAATTGAGCGGCTTAGGCACCTTTGGTCAATACCCAAGCAATTGCCATAGAGACCTTGTAAGGCTATTAAGGGCTAGGTTGAAAAAGTCCATGCACGGGGGCTTGCAAGAAAGCCCAACAATTTCCATTCAGGTTCCTGCCTTGGATGCCAAAGAAGAAAATCCAGAGACCAAGGCAGCATGCCACATTGTACTGCCACATTTGCTGGTTTGGCAATTATTCAGCAGCTATCCTAAGTTGGCTCCTTCGCTTTTTGGCCTTCACAAGTTGAAAGCTTTCTGGGGAAACTTGAAAAGCAATGACCCCAGGCTGTGGGACAGTGGCTTGAAAGAAAGCCAAAAACACAAAACCATCCCTCTCTGGCTTCATGGAGATGGTGTCGAATTTTCCACAGACCCCTTAATGACATTCACCTGGGGACCCACGCTTTATGCTCCTCAAGGCCTGAAAGAAGGCCCAAGGGAAATGCATCCCAGCCACCCCATGGATAGTTCTTTCCTCATAACTGCATGGCCAAAGTCAGCAGCTGCTTCCAACACATGGGTGGAAATCCATGAGGTCATGGCTTGGAGCTTCACTGCTCTTTTCCAAGGTTTTCACCCAGACGTGGATTGGAAAGGGAGGCCACTGCCAACAAATTTGAAAAGGCTTGCAAGAAAGCCAATTACACCTGAGGGGCATTCCTTCTGGGTGTTCAATTTTTTAGGCGATTTGGAATACTATGCAAATCACCTAGGTTTCCCCCATTGGCAAAGCAAAAAAAATTGCTGGCTCTGTGATTGTGAGAAAGGAAACCATCTGAAAAACCCTTTTGATTTCACCTCTGAACCTGGATGGGAAATGAAATCTTTGGAAGGCTTGAAAGAAAGCCCTTGCACCAACCACACTCTGTTCAAAATCCCTGGTGGCCTACCAGAATACAGAGTGTGCTTCGATGTCTTGCACACTTTAGATTTAGGTGTGACTGCCAGGTTGGCAGGCTCCATCCTACATGCCTGGGCATATCCACCTGGATCCAAAAAAGAGGTTGGGCCTGGCAACACTGCCAAAATATGGGCACTACTCAAAGAAGCATACGCAGAATTGCACATCACAGAAAAGTACAACAACCTCGTGGTTTCTATGTTTACTTCTGAAAGAAACCCATTTTCACAGCCAGCAAAGCTCAAAGGCCATGCAGGAGAGATTCGACATCTCATGCCAGCATTAGCCATGGTGGCCTGGAAGAAGGCCAGTGAATGTGAGGCTTTTGCCCACATGGCTGAATGCTGCCACCAAATGGCAAATTTCTATGCCATCATTTCAGAAGATGATTTTTTCATGAAGGACAGCACAAAAGCTGAGAAGTGCTTGAAAGAAAGCATGCAGCATTACATTTGGTTGCACCGCCATTTTGGAGATGAAGTCAGATTCACATTGACGCCTAAATGCCACTATGTGGCACACATTGCTTTGATGCTGCATTTCCAAAACCCAGCTACCTGCTGGACATACAAGCAAGAATCATTCATGGGATACATTGCAACCTTGGGCCACAGCTGCTCACATGGAACCAGAGCTTCGAGAATCAGTGAATCTTTCATCACAAAGTACACCATGGCTGTGCAGCTCAGAATCAATGAAATAATTTAGAGGCTTGAAAGAAAGCCAAGCCTGGAATGCTGCTGTAGACATGGCTTCAAAGAAAGCCCTGACACCTTCAGCTTGTCAAAGAAAAAGCTTTGCCAAGATCAATATCGATCAATATCGATCAATATCATTTTCAATGTTTTCCATCAATTTTAATCAATCTTGATCAATCTCAAGATCAATATAGGATTGATCATGGTATTGATTTTTGAGGTCCCAACATGTGCCATTTTCAATATTATTGAAAATGATTTTTTTCAATACAGGGATTGAAGTTTTTCAATATCGGATCCTCAGGGTGAATGGAAAGTCATAAAATTCATGTTCCAAACCACCAACCAGAGATGGTAATAAGTGGCTGAATTCTATGGTTTATGGTAGATATAACGAACTAGTTAATAGATGTTAATGGTATTTTGAATGGTTCACACAAGGTGGTGGAAAATCAAATAGTGATATAACATATAGATTCTATGCGAATATCATGGGATAATGGATATAGAATGGATTATGTTGGTGATTAGTTAGCTAAGTTGGGGAACAGAACTCCAATTTCACTATATGGCAGATACATCGAACTACTATGGTTTTTAAACCAGCAAATGTAACTGGGCACAACCCTGTACAGTTCAAGCATCTAATTGATACTGTAGTATAATGTGGGAAACATATGTCTTATTCTGTGATGCTGAAAAAAAAACGTGTAGTTCCAGTTAAGCATCTAAATTGGAGATTGAAGCACGAACAAAATGGGCGATTGATACTGTCTCCATCGAAGTCATCTCCGATTTCCTGAGAGCCTGACACAGAGAACAGAGTGGGCAAGACCTCAGGCGCCGAGGTGGTGTAAATGGTGATTTTCCATAGTTAATGGTGGTTGATATGGGAATATCAGGGAATATCTATGTTTAATGGTGGTTAATGGTGAGTAATGGTGATTAATGGTGGTTATTAACTGGTTGGTGGTTGACCTACCCCTCTGAAACATGTTGGACTTCGTCAGTTGG